AAGCTTGTTTGTTAAACATCTCCAATTAATTTAATTGAGAAAAATATATTTCCCATTTTCGTTTAGGGAATGTTATTACGCATCTTGTCAATATCATAGTTCTCCCTCTTAAAATTGGCTTATGGTCGGAGCCTAAATTTTCCATTTAATTATTTTGATAGTGCAGTATGTATAAAATTGATCCACCACAATGCACTGAGATGGATAATAATGAATGCTGAGAATAAATGCGTAGTATGAACCCTTATTACAAATGTTGATGTTTTATAATGCAGTAAAAATTTTGTCAATTTAATTTGACAATTATCTCAGCATTAAGGAGAGGAATTAAAAATTTGAAAATAATGTATAAATGCATTATTGTCTAAATTCTCACAAAAGATCACTCGAACCAGAACTTCGAAATATAATTTATTTAGATAAATGATGAGAAATCAAAATGAAGAACTAGAAGATGCTTCAATCCAATAAATTTCTATGTATCATTTGTTCTCATTATCGACAATTGATCATTAAAAGCCACCAGCTAAAATTGGGATTGAATTTCTTATATATCTGAAAATTAATTAAGGTGATATATGGGGCCCCGTCACCCACCATGTTGATCATCTAAATATTATTTGTATACAATAAATGTGATACAAATACTAGATGATTGCATGGTATTCGCAACCAGAAGTTTGAAATTATTGCTCAAATTTTAAAGTATGAGCATAATTTTTAGATTAAATAATTGAAACCGTGTCTTGTTAATGCTAGTGGGTATAAATCTCAACATTTTAATGAGTGCTTTTTGAGATGTCGATAAATGATTTAAAAAACTTGTTTGTTAAACATCTCCAATTAATTTAATTGAGAAAAATATATTTCCCATTTTCGTTTAGGGAATGTTATTACGCATCTTGTCAATATCATAGTTCTCCCTATTAAAATTGGCTTATGATCGGAGCCTAAATTTTTCATTTAATTATTTTGATAGTGCAGTATGTATAAAATTGATCCACCACAATTCACTGAGATGGAAAATAATGAATGCTGAGAATAAATGCGTAGTATGAACCCTTATTACAAATGTTGATGTTTTATAATGCAGTAAAAATTTTGTCAATTTAATTTGATAATTATCTCAGCATTAGGGAGAGGAATTAAAAATTTGAAAATAATGTATAAATGCATTATTGTCTAAATTCTCACAAAAGACCACTCGAACCAGAACTTCGAAATATAATTTATTTAGATGCATTTACTGATCAAATGGATCAATAATATCTTACACATCAGCTTCAAATGCTCCAACTTGAATTAACGTCACAGAGGACAATTAGTTAATATGATATTTGATGGTACGTCTGAAGCATGATGATATTCGATTCTAATACAAAAAATTTCCAAATGGAGCAATTAGAAAATATGGTCTCATTGAGGAAGCATACACTCTTATGAGTATTTAGACATAACAGATTATAAAACCCCAGAAGAGGTTCATGTACCTCATATATTGAAAATTGAGATATCTTAATAAGTTATGTCATCAAGGAGAAAGAAATAGAATCTAACAAGAGAAGAAAATGTTATCGGCAACAGTTTTACACATGATGTACTGCATCATATATCGATCGAAATAATGATTGGCCAAATAAAATGGATGCGATCCTAGTAAAATTGAACTTACTAGAGAAACCTGAAGTTTCTGGATATACAGTTCAAACACCAAGAGGTGTATACTTGTGCGAAATGAAAATAGAAAAAGTAAAGTCGTAATGTGAAATGTAAGACTTTTTACATAATGAATTTCACGAACACTTGTATAAATAGATTAGTTATCATGTAGTGGATGTAATCATAGGTATTTACCTTGTTAGTGTGATAATCCATGAAATTTGATGTGCCTGTAATAAATATGATTATAGATAATTTATCTTGTATTGTTTTGATACCATTCTGGAATGATTGAATATGCTTGAAGCATGATTCAAGTGATATTATTATGAGGGGGAGTAAATACGCCTTGTACTCTTTTTTCCTTGATCAATGTTTTATCTCATTAGGTTTTCCTGGCAAGATTTTTAATGAAACAACTTTTATAGCGTATTCAAAAGATAGTGCACTCTTTTTTCCTTCATTAAGATTTTTTCCCACAAGGTTTTTCCTAATGAGGTTTTAATGAGGCATATTTTTCATGTAATTAATGTCTATAACATGCAAGACATTTACCCTCAAAATAATATATTACATGTATGAAACTCTTGAAGAGATCAACAAGAGCTATTTTTCGAATTATCATGTTACTACAGTTATCAAAGAATGATAAAGTATCCCTTACGAAGATGGTGTTATTTTTTTTTTCTTTTTTGGTAAAGACATCCACACATCCTTAGTGACTTTTTAGGGTCCACCAAGGAAGGTCGATGGGGGTTAAGGGTTCCCCAACTATATTTATTTCATAAAAATCAAGAATACACGGAAGGAGGGGGGCATGAACCTGACCTCCAAAAAGCAGTGATGCAACAAATGAATATAATAAATGAAAGTAATAAATGAGGAAGTACTACTTCCCTATACAATAAAGAATAGCCTAAATTACGAACCTCTGAAACTGGGCAATCCATGTTTATCGATCCGCACTATCGCCCTAATATGTCGAGGCAGTTCTAGTGGTCCATACTCTAGATAGCGCCGATGATTCCAGCCTTCTGTAGCAAGAGAATCAGCAACCTGGTTGCCTTCTCTGTAGATGTGTGAAACCGTGTCTCTATCGAAGATGGTGTTATTTGAAGATTATACAAGACAACATGAGGCATTTCACCAAAGTTGCAATATTGAAGATAGTGACATACAAGGCAATTATGAATTAATACAAGAATTAAAATAAGGGGGAGTAGCTGTACTCTTTTTCCTTCGATCAAGTTTTGTTCTACTGAGTTTTCTTGACAAGGTTTTAACGAGGTAGCATTTTAATACTCCAAATTATTTTTACTCTTTTTGTTGGCATTTTTGTACCATTGGATTTTTTGCCAATTAATGTTTCAATGAGATAAATATTTTATAATGTGTCATTCAAGGGGGAGTGTTGTAAAAATGAAAGTTCATTAGGGTTTATTGGTGAACGACAATTATACCCCTACGGCCCTAGAAATTATTACCGTTGTATCCCTAATTCTGCCCTATAAATAGATGGCTTTGGTTCTTAATAAAATACACAAATCTATTGACTTCTCCCTATTTTCTTTTCTTTTCTCTCTTTTCATAACAATATCTACATAATCTATCTATTTATTCTACTTGAAGTGAGAATAGTTTTTTGGAGCTGCTATTGACACCCATCTCTCTCTCTCTCTCTCTCTCTCTACACACACACACAGAAAGAATGGCTTATAAATAAGTTTGTGGAGTTTCCTCATAAGCCATGTACAACCCAATTAAAGGAAGTATACACATGACAATTTTTTATTTAATGTATGACAAATAAAAGAACTACTATATTAATTCATCAAATTACAAGCAACCATGTGTATATTACGTATGATGACTACCGTTAATTTTCACTACAAATAACATTACTCCAATTAAAACCAAATCTTCGTGGCATCATCCTCATTGCATAGAACTATAGAAGTGGACAAACAGAGTAGGGTTTTCTTGCTTGGTATTGCACTAAAAATTGGCAACAATTTGCTGTGAATGAGAGGGGAAAAGGGAGATGTGTTTATCATTCTTGGGCTCCAATTTAATCTCGAGTTCCAGTATTCACTATAAGGATAAGCCATCATCTTCATTACCAAACTTGGAAAATAGAAAGCATGTTTCAAATTTGGATTTTTTGTGGGCTGGCGTGGGTGTGGGGGTGGGGGATTTGGAGAAGAAGAGGAAGAGGAAGAGGAAGAGGAAGAGGAAGGACAATATTGGAAAGTGATGTAGATGAAAATAATATTTTTTTTAAACTTTTAAAATATTTAACAGTGATGATATGCAATAATGGTTGATAAAAATTGTAGCTCCCTCATTTTTTTGAACCATTGTACTTTTACTATACTTATACTCTTTCATATATGTAGAGCAACCCAATTATTATTTTTTATTTTTACCTTTTTTGGGTGGATGATTTTAGAGCAGGCTCTTCATTTATTAGATAGAGAAAATCACCAAAATTTAGTGCAGGATACCCATTGTGTTGTCGCTTTTTTTTTGACCAATTGGGATGCCAAATAACCCTATTCATAACCTTATCCAAATGCCACGGACCAACCACAAAACCCTATTCATAACATTTAACTTTTAATTTTTGATATGTATTTAAATCGTCAATAATTTTCCGAACTACATAATTATCATCTATGTACATTTTAACAATTCAATCCACGTTAAATTATATTCATCAAAGTATAGACGGATTATTTTTAGAAAATAATTTTAGATAATTTTAATAAATCGTTGGTGTCTGATCTAGGTGCCTCAATTTTAACCACTCAAAATGGATCGAGAATCATCTACCCAACCTTATTTTTATCTATAAGCATGTCTCATCACGAGGCACTCTTTTGACATTGGACTCCACTAATGAAAAATAAAATCCTATCGGAAATTTGGTTCTAGCCCATAGGCCAGGCATTTGGCAATGACAATGGCAATTGATCACCATGGTTTTTGTTTGAAGTGACAGATTAATCTTGAGCAAAGAAAATAGATTGAAATGGTAGTCAATAAATGAAGCTCTGTCTTTTATTTCATTGAAGTTGTACATATTTTACATCCGAGTCTAATGATTACAGATGATGATTATCATTTATTGACTCTTGCATCATCAATTTCTGTCACTAGAATTTGACAAAATTATTTTAATTGAAATGAAATTAAGGTGTAGTTACTAGATCACCATCAAATAAAATAGAAGTATAGTTATTTGGTTGAAACCAATTTATAATATAGATACCCAATTAAATAAAATTGAAGAACAGTCATGTCATTGAAGCTAAAGTAAAAGTATAATTTCCGCATGCCAATAGAATTAACCAGCATATTTATAACCTTTACAATGCACAATAGTAATATTTTATACTGCAACGTCTATAATATACAAAATACATCAAAAATCATTACAACAAAGTTTGCTTTTTACGACACACGGACGCATACCGTATAAAGTCATGTCGTAAATACTCACATCTTTTTACGGCATTCTATGCATGCCGTTAATGTAACAGTTATGGCATGCAAGGCTTAATATTAACAGCAAACTCATCTCATCAATTATCACTACAAAATTATTTCTTCTTTGGAGTCAGATAGCTCTTTGGTTGCCTCTTCTTTTATCTCTTTATTTTTCCCCCACAAGACGCAGTACAGCCCCGCTGCCAGCAATATGCATCCACAAATACTGCATGAAAATCGAAAACGGCCCCTCGTCAATTTTATCAACTCAACAATGTAAAGCAAAGTGCAATGAAAAAATGTCCGAATCGACTCTAGAGTCGAGCATGACATATTATGACTGTAAATTGTTCAAAAAGATTACAAAAAAGAGTATATACCTTCCCCAGTGGAGTATCTCCTTCCACAGGAACATTGAGATGATAGCAGTTATAATCAGTGCCAATGGAGTGAACGCAGCAACAAAAAGAGGTCCTTTTTTCTCCACAACCCAAAGTTGTAACCAATAGGTCACACCAGTCACCACTACACCCTGCAATAAAACAAAACACAATGGTCCATCAACGCAACAATTTGCCAATGTTGCTAATAATTTTAAACCTTTAGAGGCCACATTTTTTACACTCGATTTAACGATATTATGCCAGGTAATGCACAAGTTTTGTTTGTGTACTTTCTTCTTAACCTCTTTGGAAAATGCTCACCCTAATTTGGTTAAAAAATCAGATATTTAGTAAATTTTGAAATGTTCATTAAAATATGTGAATGAAAACGAGTTTTCAAAAATCGAGACGGAACATGGGTTTACCTAATTTTCAACTTCTTAAGATTCAATTAGCTAAACATGCGCACCCTAATTTTTTGGGATGTGTCACTTTTTGGTCAAATAATTGTTGGGTTGTGGAGTGAAAGTTGAAACATGACAAAGAATGCAAAAGTGATAGATCTTTTACTTTTTGATGTGGAAAATTTTCAGTCTTTTATCCCATTATACAATTAAAGTCGGACTGGAAAAGAGAGACGTTCCATCTCATTTAAAGTTAGATTTGAAAAGAGAGACGTCATATATCTATCTATGAATAAACGAATATCCCAAAGCGAAAAGGAAAAAAGAAACGAGTTCTAAGGCATAGCCGCGTAAGTGGGATGAGAAGACATACACAATAGGCCACTGAAAGAAGATTCAAATCCCATCCAAGCTTCCATGATGATATGTCCCTCTCCATTGCCATGGCCCAAACCAAGGATTGTAGGCAGCTAAAGAAACACTGCAGCTCGGTGAGACGGATTTTTGCCGAATATTGTTTCATCAAAGGGGCCTAAAATCAGAAATTAAGTAAGAGAGACTCTTTACAAAATATGTATTTAGTTGTGTCTTGTTGACCATACGAAGCAAGTCAAAAAAATATACATCGAAGTAGAAGTTAAAGAAGACAAGAAACTTTTAGGATTTATATTTATGGACCAGTGTTGGTAAGGGAACTTTGAAACTGTTAATCCTCAATTTTTTATTAATTAGTCCGCAAATTCAAGAAAAACCAAGTTTCTCCTAAATTAAAGACGAAAACTATCCGCGTCTGTCAAATGGTCACGTGGTCCTCATTTGTCTATTTTATAGAGTTAAGTTTTGTTTCCTTGCTTGAGTTGGAGACTAGAATTTTGGAATGAGATATTTTTGTGGGGGCTACATGATGATTTAATGAAGGTTTGAATGGTTTTTGTCGTTGAGAATTGAATATACCAAATTAATAAAAGGTTGAATGCAGCTTGCGCTTTTTAAAGGTTTAATGCCAACTTGCTACTCGGACAATAATTTGGAAACCAATGGTGCCATATTCCTATGATCCTAATGATGTATAATGAAGCCATCGAGTGCGAAAAATTGATTCGGAGTGCATGATATACTAGTTAGGATTGTCACGTCCAATCATATTAGTAAGAATGTCACTCGACCTGCATGACGAGCCACGAAGACCAAGCGAAGTTGCCCATGAGCATGAGTATACAGCCTTTTACCCAGTCCTTGGAACCTAAATTCATACTTGGGGTTGCCTTGTGGTTCGGTGTGAACCAGTTCATGAAATTCACTTGAGGCCCTTTGACAAATGCAAACACCATGGCCCCAGAAAGACCAACCGCTGAGCCCACTACCTTGGCAATCCCATAAAAATGCCTTATGGAGAGGCTTTCAATCCTTGCCAAAAACAATAGAAAGAGAGACATTCATTATTTTAAAAAAAAAAATAAAATTGAAAACTTATATAGAAACAGTGTTCAATTTGTGGGATCGCCTTATTTAAATTGTCTTCAGTACGTCTCCTTAAGTGCAAACCGAAAACATCACCACATCTAGAATCTTGAAGGGGTAGCATCAATTTACCTTAATGTAACGGCTATAATGAAGGTAAGCACAGGTACTGTGTTTACACTGGCAGCAGCAAATGTCGCCGAGATGAAATTTATAGCATACACATAGAGATTCAAGCTCAAAGTTATCCTGAATTTTAGCAGGAAAAATCTGAATCAATTATCAAACTGGGACTCCTATGACTTGTTCGGTATATTGTACTTGATAGCATAAGCTAAAATAATTTTCTTTATGTAGAGTCGAGTACTGTCTACTAAACAGCACGTATCAGTATGAATTTTGATTAAAAAAAGAAAAAGAAAAAGAGGCACACCCAAACAAAGAAGTAAAGAAGATTTTCCAAATTAGTTTGTATGATAGTGGATCAGCCTTCTTCCTGCCAATTATATAAATAGTCCATCAGAAGATGTGAACAAACCAATTTAATAAGAGTAAAAATTTTGCGGAAGATAAACCTGTCAATGAAGAAGGCAAATGGAGCCAAGGCAATAGTGGCAAATACTTGTCGATATGCTACAAAGACATAAGCGTTCATTCCTTTAGCTACAGCTGCTTTAGAGAACAGGGCCATGCCTGCATAGGCAAGCTGTACAAATATCATTGCAAGGCATGCTTTGTTCTTCTCCAAGTAGTTAACCATTTTCTTGAAATTTGGCTTCTTTTCAAGTTATGTGGATATCAAATGGGAATATCTTGCCCTCTTATAAAGAAGCATTGAGGGTATAAAAGTGGGCCAGGCCATTTCGGACATGCATGGCGGGTCCCGAATGCTCCAAGCATCGCCCAAGCACGATCTATTACTCCTAAGATGTTGGCTCACATCTAGTGAAAGATGGCTTGTTCAAACAGCCCGATGTACACCTCTATACGATAACAGGTCAGCCTTTTGCGTTCCAATTTGGGGGCGGGTGCCGTAAATTAGTAGTCGAAACGTTTGTGCTTAAGCCAAGCTGTTTCTAATACTGCAAACAAGAATGCCAATAATTTTGTAGGAAAGATGAGAAGAAAGAAAAATGGTATTGTCCTCATTCTTCCCATAAAACTAATGTTATAGACTTGTTGGACTTGTGAAAGTCTCGTTTTCAACTAAATTAAGAAAGACGGGCTTTGCTCTGTCAAGGTGGTCTTTTTTAATCACCCAACGTCAAGACTTGCAATAGAGTCCCACCGAGAGCACCCAACTTATTTTATTGACACGAGGGGAAACTGGAGTTCGAGTAATCACACCCACTAAATAATCCTATGCAAGCTCCTCCTCGAGGCTCAAACCGATTCCTTGTTTCGCTCCTGAATCTTTGACTTGAAACCAATGTCTGGTCTCCTTTAGGCGGACCATATAGTCTAAATTATGCTAGAGATTGAAGAATGATGTCAATATACCCTATGCACAAGTGCACAACATGTCTCCAGGATCAAGATATAACTAGTAACGGACCTGTCTCAATTGTACATTAAAATTAAAGCACTGATCATTATTTCTGCTGGGTATAGTGCTGGAAAGTGTTCAATATCCCAGTGACGTTCCATCAATGGCTCGGTTTGGTTATTGTACAATTGAATATTTCCATTTTAATCAGTTCATGGGCATTGGAAAATGTACAGCACATGTGAATAGACATGCACCATAGAAAGGCAAAGCTATTTTCCCGTCAATTTTTAACGTCTATGTATGATCACGAGGTTAGATTTAGTAGCGAAGCTAACAAGTTATTAATATCGAAGTAAGTTCAGGGACTAAAAATGTTATTATACTTTCCACTATACATAAAACTTTAGGTATGTTTTTTTTTCTTTCTAATTTTGTCTAGTTTTGTGTACTAAACCTCATATACAAATTTTAGACAATAAGATCAAATAAAGTGATGTCAACTAGTGTTACTTTAATTTTGATGTTAGTTATTGTATCACTAAGTTAAATTATAATTTCATATAGATTATTCTTTACTTTGACCCTTACCACATTTTTCAATAAAATACTTTTACATGTGAACCCATAACTTCTTTCAATTTTTTAATCACACGTTTAAGGAAAAAAATGAACACATTTCACAAAATATATTGGCCTAAAAAATTCTACATCAAACAAGCCCTTTATTTGAATCGTGCTCGCTCTTTTAGAAAGTTAAATTTATTATTCTTAATGTTTGAAATTAATGAAAATTGGACATCAATTTGTGGCATTTAACTTAATTCACTTATCTTTGGGACATTGAAACTCGCTTCCTCTGTGAAGGCAAACACTATCGGAACTACAAATTGATTCACAAATACTTGAAAAATTACCAAGTCTGAAAATAAAAAAGCGATTGAAAATGTATTATTTGACATTGACGTCGAGTTAGACTCTTTGGTCAACAAAAAGAATCAATATCTTGTGCACGATTATGGATGATCTGCATACTTCGCACACTTGTCTATAAGTCAACCAAAAATGTCACTTGTACCCTCATGGTATGCATGTGTCGCAATTGTGCTTGTTGGTCAAACTCTAGCACTTCACATGAGAGTCAATGAACTTTGAGCATCGTGTATTACGTTGACCAATTGAGCTGAGCTCTCAGATATAGCCAGTACTCGTAAGGTGAACCAAGGGCGGAGGAATGGGATAGGTCTAGGCTTTCTCAATGAAATATTTTTTTTTGTTTTGCAAAAAAAATAATTATATATATTTGCTTTTTTTATATATTTTTTTTTATTAGGAGGTCAAAGTTTAAACACTACACTATAAATGTATAATGTAATTAGCAGCTTCAAACTCAACTTTGTGCCTTTGTTTTTCTCTTCCAATCCGCCTACTGCGGACTGTCATTACCATTTAGGTTACCAATCGTTTGAAAGTTTGATTGTGACCCTCTAATTCAAAGTATCTAGGTCTGCCCTTGCCTATGATGAATTGAAGACAACGCATTCGGAGTCAGCTACATATACTTTCGGACTTTCGGTCAAGCTAGCCAATGGGTTCAACACAGTTTGACATGACCATTAGTTTATTCTGCCTATATGGGTTCTCTTTTGGGCGCCGATTGTGTTCCATGTTAGTTTAGTCGGCGAATATGGGTTTTCTCTCAACTTTGAGCTCTGCATTTATGCTTAGTCGAACTGTGTTTAGCCGAGGTGACCTTCTCTACTTGGCAAACTGAGATAAAAACGTGCTTATTTCTGTTACGATAGTAGCAGCATTTGCACTTCATTAACAAACAATGAACACAATAAAATCGTATGGTCGAAATCAAAGGACATAAGGTTCCTAGTCCAAGAAATCCTTATCTAGAATTGAAACATGTTTCAATGGAGCAGAGTTTCCTATTTGTTTACAAGATTTCTACAGCTTTTGTACGTTGAAATCATTAATTTGTATACAGTAATTGGCAATCACTTTCTTTCCACTCCGAAGGGAAAACTCAATCCACTACTATAAAGTTTGATGTCTATATATGCTTTAACTTCATCGGCATATTATCACGTTTTCTATTGAAACAACGTTCTTGTGGCATGATAGCAACGATACTGCGTCTTGCATTAGTCGATTCCGTTGCCAAAAACTGCCATATGGGCGGCATTTTCGAGCATTTTATCAGCTTAGGTGTTAAAAAATACATGATATATATTGCAGTACATCTTTCTTCTTTACTTGTGTTTAATTCACATAGACCGTGATAAATGGTAACAACTTTTGACCTTCAATGTACAATGAGCAAACTCTAATGGTTTAGTCGAAATCGAAGAATATAAGATTTCCTAATCCGAGAAATCCTTATCTACAATTTTCAAAAGTAGAAAATTTCCTGTTTGATAATAAGATTTCTCCAGCTTTTCTTTGTTGAAATAATTCATATCCATATACACTAATAAGCAACAACTTTATTGCCACCCTAAAGATAAAACCAAACCACTTGTCTCAATTCTTGTTATTTTGTGAATATTGTCACGTTTTATATAGAACAGTGTTCTCATGGCACATTTGAACTAAAAAAGTGTCCTGTATTGGCCGATTTTGTTGTCAAAAACTGCTACTTGTCATGGGAGGCATTTTTACATGTTTCTTTCATCGAGAAGACATAGCGTTGCTATTCAACAAAGCTATGAAACACTCTGAGATGTTGTCTCGCCCTTATCCAAAAATTCTTGTTAGATTTGCCTTTTATTGGTCGAGTTATTAGAAAATGGAATGTTCCACAATATTCGACTGATATATGTTGCCGTTTTTGTCCGCTATATCAACAATCCCCTCTTGACGAAACATATTATTGCAATCCCTATTTATCTATTTATCCTCAAACGAGAAATGATCACAGGTCGAACTACTGGTGTTCTATGCATAGTCAAATTGTCTTGAAAGCCAACTCGAGCTTACCACTTATCATTTGGTTTCTACTACAACTAAAAATTTGACTTGTGCATTGACATGATTAATTTTGAGACCTAACTCTGATATCGTTGGGACTCGAATTCTGTCCCTTAATGTTAATTATGCATGTCCAAGTTAAATTTAAGTGATGCAAAACTATTTATGTTTTTTAGATTCTTTATTTTCATAAAAGTCGAAGAATCTCAATTGAAACGAAGAAGACATATTGGCCTAAAAAAATGTAATCAAATTGGACATCCCAAACATACCATTAGCCGTTACTTTACTAGAAGGTGTTTGGCACTATTAGCAACCCTACCACGTCTATGTGTCTACACTATTAACATAATTATTTGTTGTCAAAATCATACATTTTTATTACGTTTAAATAATTAATATTTCTTTTTATCATTATAATCAGAGTTTTATAATATCGGACTTCTTTGAATTACCGTATCTCCCTTAAAAAGTTTATTATTTTCATATTTTAAACCTTTTTATCATCAAACTATTGTTTTTATTTTATTTTTATCTTTTTACTATCAATTTTTAAATTACACATGTCACCGCCCAATTTCCACCATGTCATCGTCATCACTTATAAAACAGTGTGTTACATATATTTATCATCATTCCCATCATCGTTGTAGTCACTAACAATAGCTCGCTTGTAACTTACCTCTAGTGGCTCACCAATCGAGGTCTTGGATATGATCTGACCTTTAATT